CTTCACTGTTTGCTTAGCCAAACCTGCAGCCCATCCTAGGTCAGCCAGTCCCTGCAAAGATCTGTCCTGCACTCGGCTCTCATGGGAGGGGTGCCCAGCTACCAGGGGGATTACCATCCCAGCCTGAGAACAATGTGGTCAGGGTCACCCGCCTTGTTTTCTTTGTCCCTCCCGAGTGAGGACAGGGCTCCCAGGCCTGTGAAAGTCGGAAACCCAGAGGATCGTGCTGAAAACCTGCTCCCATCTGGCACAGGCTTGCCCTGTGAGTGTGAGACCTAGTGTCTCCTCTGGGAGGCTGCTGAGAGATGGCCCATGAGGGCCGGCAGGGGAAGCCCAAAGGTGGACAAGAGGACAGCCTGCCCAGTGCTGACTCCAGGGGTGGGCTAGACTCAGTCCCTAACAAGTAGGGAGGGCAGTTTGGGTCTAGGGCACTGGTTTTGAATCTTGGCTGAATATAATATTAGAATCAGCTGGGAGAGCTTTTAAACATCCTCGTTCCCAGTTCAGGCCCCAGACTATTTCTATTTGGAATCTCTGATGGTAGGACCCAGGCAGGAGTATTTGTCCAAGCTCCCCAGATGATCACAGTGCATTGTCCAGGTTTAGAAGCAACAGTGTAGTGACCCCTAAAGTGTTCAACCAGGGTGGGGGTGGTGAACTACTTTCCACACTGCCTAATGGGATTGTCCGTCTCTGGGGCTTGGGGGTTAATCTAGGTGTGACTGACAGTGCAAGACCACCATGGGAATGCAAGGGGATGGGGGTGTGTTATGCCCATAGCCCCACCTGCAACACTGTGGGGCATGATCGGGCTGGCTGCTTCCCCTGGCACTCAGATGGCAGGCCGGGCACTGGGTATGTTATTAAAGCAGAGTGTAGGCAGTGAGGCCCCCTCTGCAGCCTGAGCAGGGTGAGCCAGGGGACAGAGCTCCTGACATGGGAGCCTGACTTGCTGGGGGCTCTGAAGGAGCTGGGCCTGGTGGCCAGTGAGCTGAGTCCTGAAAATGGACATATACATGTGTATATTCTTGAATGGGTTGTGGATGGGGTGGGTGTGGGAAGGTGCCAGGCTGGGCCCAGAAGTTCTGGGAAGAAGAAAATGAATTTTAGGGAGGTGTTACCTGCCCCTCCATGCCCCTTCCCTCCCCAGGTAGTCATAGTCAAGCCTCCTCCTTTATGGAGGATGTAGGCAGAGAGATCAAAGTTCTTGGAGACTCTCCAGGTCTGGTAGAGCTGAGCTGAACCTGGTCTTCAGACGCTATGTTTACAGCCCAGCAACCAAAATCTCCAACAACTTATTTGTCTTTCCATCTTTCTTCTAAAAATATGACTACTCCATGTAAATATTGGAGCAAATCTGAAAACACCCTTAAGTAAAAAAGAAGTCAACAAACACAGTCCACTTTGCAACAGCCCAGTACTAGTCTTAGGACAAGCATAGTGTGGCCCTGCCCCCTCCAGTCCCAGCATCTGCCCCCAGACACCCGCTCCTTCACTGTGGAGACAGAGCTCAGTGAGCTGGGCCTGCAGCTGGCGCAGGTATCAGGGTGGCACGAATGGGCCCTCGCCAAGACCTTGCTCATAACTACAGCTGCCCCACGAACCACACCCTGTTCACCTAGGCTGGGGTGAAAGGGTGGTCAGGGAAATACCACGGATTCCTTCTCCCTGCCCTGCATTCTCCCTCCTTAGGCAGGAAGGTAGAAGGCCCGAGTCCAGCACCCCACATTCTCAGCCCCCCATCACCTCCCACTAGGGCAGTGGCTGCATGATAGAGTCACCTCTGGAACTTTTTAAAAGCCATGTCCAAGTCAACAGAATATCTCTGGGTGGGGCCCAGGCATGGTATTTATTTAAACTCTGAAGTGATTCCACTGGACAGTGCAGCTTGGGCTGCGAACCACTGCCTGCATGGCTATGTGGTATCTAACCTCACCATTGCCTGCATGGCTATGTGGTATCTAACCTCAGTTTCCTTGTCTGCAAACAATCCCAACACCCCTCCCCTGACCCCCAATTAACCTTAAGGAAATAGTTTGAAAAGTTGCATCAGTCTGGGATAGAGAATGAAAGGGAGTGACTATAACTAAAGGCTTTAGCTAATGGAGTTTTCAATTCTCCAATTTGTCATGGGACTAGGAGAGTTAACAGGTGCACACTTTCTCTCCAAGACGCTTGTGATGCGCTGACTGTCCCCCTGAGGTCTGCCTGTCAGCGGGGCAGACAGCAGGACCCAGTAGCCTCTTTCTCCCCACTCCACCTTCTCAACCTGGGCTGTGGCAGATGAGGGCGATTCCCAGCACATGAGCTCCCTCCCATCCTCCCTCTCTCAGTTCCTAAGTTTGTGGCTTTAAAAATTTTGAAAATCATTGTACTAGCCCAAATGGCAAATAACTCCCTGAAAAGTGCCAGTGATAGGTTTACCATTCTCCTGCTACCTGTCCTGCTGAGACTCCCCCACTCCCTGTGGGGGCTCGACCCCATTCTTGGCTCCCTATGGAAGGGGATTCCTTGTTAGAGACCAGAGGGACACACAGGAAGAGCACGGCTCGGCGGACACTGGGCAGGTGGGCATTTTGCTGCATTGCGAAGCTGGGGGCAACTGGGAGGGGAGTTGGGACCTGAGTTCAGAGAAGCCACCATCTATCTGCCCCTGGCCTCAGCCTCACCTGGGAGTGGGGGGCGGGCAGCAGTGGCACTGCTTCCCTCAGCAGCCTGTTCCACCTGCTCCACCTGCTTGGCTGTATGGGAAACTGGTCAGGTGGATGGGAGCCTCGGGGGGCAGAGGTCAGGAGTGACGGGCCTTCTGAGGGATGGGGTGGGATATCATGGGTGTGCCTCTGTTTCCCCCTGCCCCTGACTCCCAACTGTCAGACAGCCAGGGGACACCTGTGGAGCCACAGAGCCCCGTCCCTTCCCCCGTGTGGCCTGAGGAAGCCAGTTGATCAGACTGAGTGAGAATCGATAGTTTTCTCTATTAAATAAAACAGGGAGAGATGGTAAGAGGTGGCAGGTATGAGGAAGGTTGGGGACAGTGTCTCCTGTTCTCACGCAGTGCTGTAACCCCCTAGCCCTTCTCTACCCCTTGTCCAGGGCATCTCAGTCTCTTTGGTTTAGCCTTGGGAGCGGGTGATCTTTGCTCCTGGATCTCAGATCACCACAGGATCTGGTTTCCTGACTGACACATGTACAAATCATAATACTGACTGGAGATACATTTATCCAGTGCTTACTATGTCCTAGGTGCTTTTCATATGTTCTCAGTAGGTGTTATTTTTGGCAGATTGGGAAACTGAGGCTTAAAGGCCAAATTATTTATGCAGAGACTTGCTGCTAGCAATGCAGAGACTGCTCTGACTCAAACCTAGGTGTGTCCCACCGTTTCTATGAGCTCGGGTCTGCGTTTGAGAGATGGCCCTGTCTGTCTCTTCCTAGAGCTGAGCTGCAGTGGCCTTGCTGTAAATGGGACTGACAGAGCGTCCCCAGAGAAGAGGGCCTTGTAGGGATTCAGCTGGTAGCAAGGGTTTCAGTCCATGCTGACTAGTATATTCCTTTTCCCACCCCAGCACATCCAGCCCTCATGGAGAGTTTCCAGAGGTGACAGGCCTCCCTTCCTGCAGGAAGGACAACCCCAGCCACTCCAGGACCTCTCCGGGCCCCACTGCTGCTCGCTCTGCCATCTTGAACACCTTCTTTTGGGCTCTTCTGTCTCCCTCACCTCGCCCTGGCCTAATTCCTGGCCCCCTGCCCTCTCTTCTCTCAGCCCTGGAGGCCAGTTGGAGTCCGATGGCTTCAGCAGCCCCTGCAAGTCTTGCCCTTGCCTGGGTCTGGGCCAGTCCTTCCTACCCTCTTGCTGGATAAAGGCTTCCACTTTGTTGCTGGTGGATTTAGTTAAACCCAACTGCAGAGTGATGCTGGCAGGTGTTGGAGATTGAGGGGCACTAGAGGATAAGTTAGTTGAGGCCTGAGAATATATCCTCATTCATTCAGATTCATTTATTCACTCATTTAACAAATATTTGTTAAGCAGGTATTATGTGCCAGGCATTGTCTAGGTTCGGGGAATACAGCAATTGAAAATAAAACACGTGAAAGTCCCTGCCCTCATGGGGCTTACATTCTAAGGAGCCTCTGCATTCCTACAGATACTTCCTAGGCCTGACTTTCCTTGTAGCTAGAAGCCCACCCTACGTTCCCCCACCCCATCCGTAGACGGTGCCATGGTCAAGAGCCACACTGCCTGGGTTCATGTCCCAGCTCCACCACTGACTAGCTGTGAGACCTTGGGCAAGTGCTTCTGTTCCCTCATCTGTAAAATGGGGTGATTGAATCTACTTTATAGGTGTAAAGATTTAGTGAGCTAAGTGATTTAAATTACTTCAATCAGTGCCCATCCTAGTAAGTGCTCAAATACCAACTCTTAGTTAGATATCAACCATGAAGTGAAGAATAATCCACTCCCACCTGCCTCACACGGTGGCTGGAAGGGCTGGGTGAGAGGAATGATAAAGGATGTTTCTTTCCTGCCAGGCACCATATATGAATAAGGATTCGTCCTATTTCACCTTCCAGGTCAGAGGAACCAAGTGGGTTTTGATGGTATGAATTAAGGATCAGTGCAGCTAGGGATGGGAAAGGAGGTTCAGCTCCTGAACCCCCAACAGTCTGTGGGTCCAGTGGAGGCCTGTTGAGGCTGCATCCTGCAGAGCAGGAAATAGTTAGTCCTGTGATCTGAAAGTGATGGTGGCTGCGGGAGCTGGAGGCAGGGCTGGAAATAGCTCTGTGGGTGCCAGTGAGCTGCCACCATCCTTGGACAGGCTGCCATCCTGACCTTAGTTTCCCCCAGCCTGACCCATAAAGGGAAGAGCCCCACGGCAGCCCTATCTTGCTCATGTCTGAAGGTGGGCAGCATGTCCCAAAGCCCTGGATGTGCCCACATGTCAGGATGAGTCTCTCTAGGAAGGAGATGCCTGGCAGCTGCCGCCAGGTGGAAACCCAAGTTGTGTGGACAGTGCGAGCCTGGGAAGATGGGGTCGGGCAGCTGTTGTCTGAAGCTCTGGAGAGGGGCATGGACGTGCCTCACTGGAAAGCTGGAGCAGAGCGGCGGCTGGGCTGAGTTTAGGACACTGTATTTTCAGCTGGTGGGAAGGAGTAGAAGTATTTACAGGCCTCCTTCCTGTGGCTTTTATGGGGAAAGGGGATAGGATAACCGCAGTTAGGACCCAGATGGGCCTGAGTTCTAGTCCTGGCTTCATTGCTTTTAGCTCCGTGACCTCAGGTACTTCTTTAACCTCTTGAAGCCTCAAATCCTCATTTGCAAGATGGAAAAAATTATAATATCTTCCCCGCAGGATTCTGTCCTCATTAAATGAGCTAAAGGCACATAAAATGCTTAGCACAACACTTGGCACATTGTAAGCCCTCAGTAAATCACAGCTGCTTTATGATGAGGGTGACAGAGGTAGGGAGCTCTATTCTGTCCCCAGACAAGAGCTGAGCCTGGGCTGTGTGCAGGCTTCCCTTCTCTCATCACTCACTAGGCTTATATGGAAAATGAAAACACTGTGAATTTGGAGCCAAGTTAAAGAACCTGCAAGTGAATAGGGGCAGCCTCCTTCTGCGAAAGCTGTTTCCCTAACCCTGTCTAACAGGGTGTTTGCCTAGCTCCCCCATGCCCTTCCCTCTAACCCAGGGATAGTCTCAGTCCTGGTCAGCTCTTCTGTTCTAGGAGATCAGTTAAGGCCTCTCCCTCATCCTGTATAATCCTAATCAAAATCAGCGAGATGTCCTGACCAGAGCCACAGCTACACTGGTGGGAACAGGGAGCTGGCCCCCCAAGTTCACACACGGACCTCAGCTCCCTGAGCCTCAGCTCTCTGAGCCCCCTGTCAAGTGATGCCTGGCAGAACCGCAGGGAAGCCAGTTAGGGAGTGTGTGTACGGGCCCATGCGAGTGGTGTCTCATGCACAGCAGCGCTAGTGCTACTCCTCACCCCCTGCAGTGCGGTGGAGACAAGCTGATTCCCAGGCCAGCTGTTTGGGAACCGTGGCTGAGGAGGCAACAGCAAGGGCACTGGGGGGCCCAGGGCCAGGCAGAGCAATAAAGGGAGGGAGGCAGGGACTTGTGAAGGCTTGAAACCAACAGGTCCACAACCTAGCCCAGTTCTGCCACATAACGTCTGTCTCCCCAGAGGGCGTGACTGCTGCCACCGGATCTTTGCAAGGATCAGCAGTGCGTCTAGCCCCGTGCTTCTAGCCGCATGCTTCTAGCCCTGGGCAGCTAGGGGCCCTTCAGAATGCTTCCTTTGCATACCCCTTGCTGGGTGACCATGGAGAGATAATGGAAGTCCTGGGGAAAGCATGGGCCAGAGGCTGAAGTTGTGAGCTGTTATCCAAAGGGCACACCATCAGTGGGTGCAGGGCAGGAGGCTCAGCTTTTCCACCTCTCAATGCTCCCAACCTTAATGCCCCCTTCAGTTACCGTGTTTTGCCAACTCTTATGTTTGATGTCTCCTTAGCACTTACTAAATGATTCCCAAATCACGGGTTACCTTTGGCAAGTTGGTGTTTCGCAGGGGGAGCAGTGTTCTCATTGTGGGTGGCATTGTCCTGTGAATTGCAAGGAATTTAGCATCCCTGGCTCCTGCCCACTTAATGCCAGAAGAATCCCCCATCATTCACTAGAACAAACTGTGGGGGAAGGGCAGAGATTCTGTCTGTTCACTGCAGTATCCCCTGTGCCTAGAACAGGTCCTGGTACATACAACACTCCCCATCAGATATCATTTCCAAACACTCTAGAAGGTGCTACCACCCCCAGTCGAGAGCCTCTATTACAGTCATACCTTCAACAGCAAGGCTGATACATGGTGGTCACCCCTTGTCTAAAGATTTTTCATTATTAGAGATTGATTATTGCAAAAAGCAGCCCATTATGAGGTAGCTCGTTATCCAAAAAAGCCACTTCTGTCCCCTCTTGGACCTTGGCCTGTTGGCTAACATATCATGTGAACTTTGACACCCAGAATGGATAGGGTGCCCATGTGTGGCTGACCCTGCAGAGAAGGATGGCTCGTTAGCTCCGAGCCCTGGAAAGAGGTGTGCTGATGCTGCCTGAGATCGCATTTACTTTTCTTTTCACAGCCACCGTGGTATTTGTTGGTTTGTGGTCAGCTGAAACCCAAGGACTTTCCCCTTTGATCCTGTACTAATCTTTTCCAATTCAAAGAGTAAGACTTGAAAATTTAAAAAGACTTTCATATCTATTTAATTTTCACGCATATTTCCAGTCCAGATGATGTTGAGACTCGATAGTGCCATTGCAGTGTGTTAGCTATCTTCCCATTCAGTCCTTACCCCCAATTTTGCATCCTCTGCACAAAGATTGGTAAGCTATCTATGTCCTCACTGTGCTGTGGATTATAGTACTGAAGAGGCCAGGTCTTAGGCCTGACAATGGAGACCTCAGTCTGGGTTGATAATGATCAGTACTTCTTGGGGTTGTTTGTCGGCCTTTGAATGGACTCAATTAATCCTAACTCCACTCCACATTTTCTCTGTCTTGTCCACATGAATAGCTGTAAGCCCATCTGTTAGCTGCCTTGGTGCAATCTGGATTTTCTGCATTCTACAAAACTTCAAGGCTTTGCAACCCCTTTGGAAAAGGAGATGCACTTAGCTGAGCATGACTTGGTAAATCTGTGCTAGCTTCTAGTGCTCAGCACTTCCTCTTCTGAATGTCCCAAACATTAAGAAGTTTGCAAGAGTGCAGGCTTGCTTTCCCAGTTTCTGGAATCCACCCTTTTCCTTTTTGTGAAAATAGGAACAGTTTGTCTTCTGTCATCGTTCCCCTTCCCCACGATTCTGTGGGAGTGACCAGAGGTGGTGCCACAGTGTCATCTGTGGTCAGTGATCGAATTCCCACTTAAACGTGTCCTTGAATGCTCTTCTCATGTTTTAGGCTCTCCAGTGTAAGATGGGCATCTGAGATAAGAAAGGTGGAAGCCAAAAGGGAGCCGAGTGGCTCTGCTTTCTCTGCCATCAGTTTAACATTAACCCACAGGCCCCGGTACTTCCTCATACTCTTGCTCCAAACATAGATGTAATTTGTTCACAAACCTATTGGACGGTCCTTGGTATATGTTTTAGCTCTCCTGTGGGCCTGTTCATTTCTAAACATCCTTGGGCTATTTCATGTGTAAGTGGCCAAGCCAGCTAGACAGAGAGCTCTCTGAGGGCAGGGGCCACCTGTGCCAGGGTTGAATGCCACCGTCCCCATTGCCACTTTGGTCCTGCACGGCCTTCACAGGTGCCCTGGGAATAAGGAGGCAGGGCAGTGAGCGGTGTGGTTTGATGATTTGTCAGACAAGCATGTCATCATGGAACATTCTTCAGCGTGCAAATCCATTTACAAGGGCCTGCTGCTGCTCCTGCAAACTGCACATTCCTTCAGGACACCCACCCTTTCCCTTTCCTCCCACCAAACCTCAGTCATGCCTCGGGTGGATTAGAAATATGGTTTTCCTGGCTCCTGCCTGCTTCTATCCCTCAATTCTCTCTCTTCTCCCTCAGTTCTTGGCTTGATTTTTATAGAGAATGTGGCTGAGTTCCTGGTCTCTGGTCTGCATGTCCCATCTGGGGGCTCTCCTTGGGGACAGGAGTTAAACTCCGTATTTATAGCCCCTTTTATGGGGCTTCTGGGGTCTAGGCTCTGCCAGCCAATAGAACCTCATTGGTAGGTTGGGGTGAGTGGTGGGCCGAGCTGAAGGATGGGGAAGAGGCAAGGTCTAGTCAGATGGATATGGGTTGACAACTCTCAGTGTTGCTGGAACAGATAAAACCTCTCCCAGACCTCCCAGTGCACTTCCCCAGTTGACCTCTTACCTGCTGTCCATAGTTGCTGGAAGCTCCCTGGGGCACTAGCACAATTTTGAGTCACCCTGAAATGTCCTTACCACCTTCTGATCTGTCCTTGCCCAGACAAGGGAGACTATGGGGGAGAAGGTAGATTAGAGCTTTAGGCATGGGGGAAAGAAAGGAGGACCAGGTGATTTGCATTCCTTCAGAGGACAGATCAAGAGAGCACTGAGCCAATCTTAGCAGGTGTCCTACAGTGGGCTGAAGGGGGCCAGCCCTGAATAGGGACTTGTGCTCTGCAAGGAGAGCACTCTCTATTGATGGGACAAGGTGTAGGGGACCTCCTGTGTGTCTGCATCACATCTGCCTTCTTTAAGAGGCACAATAGTCTCATGCAGCAGTTCTCAAAGTGTGATCCCTAGGCCAGTAGTGTAAGCATCACCTGGGATCTTGCTATAAATGCCCCTTCTCAGATCTACTGAATCAGAAACTCTGGGGATGGGGCCCAGCGGACTGTGTTTAACAAGCTGTGCAGGTGGTTCTGGTGTATGCTAGTAAGTTTGAGAAGCACTGGCTCAGTGAAAGAATGAACTTTAAAGCCAGGTTACCTGGGTTTATATCTTTACCAGCTGTGTGACCTTGGGCAAATCACTTAACCTCTCTGATCCATATTAAATATTTTATCTATAAAATGCAGACACTAACTGCCACCTTGTTATTGTGATGATTAATTGGAAATGCTTACAAGGAGTTTAATAGAGCACTGTCACTCAGACAGCATCTGTGTGGCCACAGCTCTGACCTTCATTGTCTCTCTCTCTTTTTCTTTTTAGGTAGTATCTGATGCTGCAGGACAGGGTGTGGCCATCACAGGGAACCAGACCTTCAACAACTGGAACTGGCCCAATGCAATGATTTTTGCAGCCACAGTCATCACCACCATTGGTAAGTCTTCTGGGACCTTTAGGATACCCACTTTTATGCTCCAGCTCCTCAGAACCTTATAGGAATCCAGCTCTGGTTACTCAGGCTTGTGCAGTGTGGGGGTAAAATCAGGCCAGTTGCAGTCTCTCCTTTTGACACTTTCCTGGGGATTTAGTAAATCTTTGGTGACTGGCCATGTCTGGGAGACTCTCATAAGTGCAGACCAGGGCCCTGGGAGACTCTCATGAATGCAGACCAGGGCTCTTTGAGCAGAAACAGCGATACCGCCTGGTTGCCAGAGCCATGCAGGAGACTGAACAGGCCACTCACTGCACAAACCCAGATTGTGCTTACTCACCAAGCTGGGTGTGTTCCCGTTCTCGATGGCTGCGTAGCCAGCCACTCCAGAAGAGAGAGGCTTAAAACACAGCTTACTATCTTTCACCGCTCTGCAGGCTGACTGGGCTCAGCTGGTCAGTTCTTGCTTGGACTGTGCAGTGAGGTGGCAGTCAAACGATGGCTGGGGCTGAAGTCACTGGGAAGCCCAACTGGCCTGATGTCCACGATGACTTCCTGCCACATGTTTGACAGTTGATACTGGCTGTTGGCTGAGAGCTCAGCTGGACTGGATGAAAACACAAGGCCTCCACATGTGGCCTGGGCATCGCACAGTAGGGCAGCCAGCATCTAAGAGGGCAAATCCCAAAAGTGAGCATTTCAAGGGAATCCAAGGGAGAAGCAGTAGGCTTCTTAGACCCAGCCTGTCCAGCACCACTTTCACTGCCTAGGATCAAGCAAGTCATTAAAGCCCAGGTTCAAAGAGAGGAGAATTAAACTCCACCTTGATGTGAGCCGTCACGAAAGAAAGGAGGGAACTGAGAATGGCCATCTTTGGAGACCTTCTACCAGAGTGCCTCTGGGTTGTGTGCCCAGACAGGGCACAGCAGTACCATATGGACTAGTGGAAACCCTGCAGATGGTGGAGGCTTAGTCCCTGCCTTCAGGGAGCTCCTAGTATGATGGAGGAGACATAGGCCGTATCAGGTAATTGCTTTATAAATGATCATGATGACACTATGATCAAGGGAATTATCATTATTTAAGTATTGGTATTACATCAGTATCAATTGATCTTAGAGGACGGGCCTTGAGCTGGCTGTGTGTGTGTCTGTTGTGTGTGTGTGTTGTATGTATGTCTGGTGTGTGTGTGTGTGTGTGTGTGTGTGTGTGTGTGTGTGTGTGTGTGTGTGTGGTGGGGGAGGAGGCAGGAGCCCAGGCTGTCCATCAGCTCTCAGCCCTGCTGTGGCTCTGTTCTTGACCTCACTGTCTCTTTCTTCAGGCTATGGCAATGTGGCTCCCAAGACCCCCGCTGGTCGCCTCTTCTGTGTCTTCTATGGTCTCTCCGGGGTGCCACTCTGCCTGACATGGATCAGTGCCCTGGGCAAGTTCTTCGGGGGACGTGCCAAGAGGCTGGGCCAGTTCCTCACCAAGAGAGGCGTGAGCCTGGTATGTCCCCAGCTTCAGGTGCTGGGCAGAGATGGGGGGACCGTGACAGGTGAGGGGAGGACAGGAAGGCTCCAAGAATTGGACAGGGGTGTTAGGACAGATGGCAAGAGGCCAGCTTCAGAGCTCCCTGCCCTCCTGGGTCAAGCTGGGAGCACCCCTCCCCCTTTTGGGGCCATTTAGCCCCCCAGGCCTGGTGTCCAGTGGCCTTTCCTCTAGCTGCCACCCAAGCCCTCAGGTGTCCCTGCTGGCTTTCTTGAGTCTACCATTGTCTGACATGGTCTCCTGCCACCTCATCAGCGGAAGGCACAGATCACATGCACGGCCATCTTCATCCTGTGGGGCGTCCTGGTCCACCTGGTGATCCCACCCTTCGTGTTCATGGTGACTGAGGAGTGGAACTACATCGAGGGCCTCTACTACTCCTTCATCACCATCTCCACCATCGGCTTTGGTGACTTTGTGGCCGGTGAGTCCCTGCCCCTTTCCCCCTGCCTCTGACTCCTCACTTCTCTTCCTCTCCTTTTCCTCCAGTTTCAGGTCAGCAGACCTTTGCTGGGGCCCCTGGTAGGCGATCGGTGTTCTGGGCACTTCGCCCACCCGGTGGGTTCTCCCCCTACCCTGCCAGTTGCAGGAGGAAACTAAGGCACAAAGTAATTGCAGAAGACGCTTCTCTCCAGTTCCCTTTCTTGGGCATGACTTTTCCCCTCCTCCTTTCCTCTCTTAGGAAATGTGTTTAGTCTCTGATCTCCTCCCCCTCTGTTGTCTCCTCACTTCTGAGACAACACTTATGCCTGGGAGTAAGGCTGCCTGCAGGGTTTGTGCCTGGTCCCCAGAGAGCCCTGAGCCAAGCCAGGGGTCCCTTCCCCACCACAGAGCACCCTTCCATCGTGCACAGGAGCTGAGCGAGCTGGCCTGGAGGCTTGGCTCAGAGGCCCGAAACTTTGCTCCTGCCATAGGCCACTTACAGACAAGGGAGGCCTTCTCTCAAGCTGCTCAGCCCTGACACTCCCTCCTACTCCTCCCTCCTTAATCCAGGAGGCGTAAGATTCTTTGGCCCCTTTGTCTGAAGGCCTGTGACCAACTGGCCACAGCCATTCATGTATTTGTGCCTGTGGCCAGCACAGCATCTTGGTTCTTAATCTTTCTGACATGCAGCTTGGCCCTGTTGACCCAGCGCTTGTTCCCTCCACGCCTGCCGCCTGCCCGCAACCTCTGCTCAGGGCCTCTGGGCTGTCCCCTCCCCCTTGTCCAGAGGACAGGGCAGGTCACTACCCTTGGTCCCACTGCATGTGGAATGCCCAGAGGGGGCCGCTGAGTGGGCGGGAGGAACAGGAAAGAGAGGCCCCAACACTCCTCTGAGCCTGGCAAATCTGGGCCTGCTGTCTTGGGAGATAAATTTAGACGGAGGCACAATCCTGCCATTGTCTAGCACTTGGAACTCAGAGCAGGCCAAGGAGAAGCCTTTTGTATTGGGAAGCACCGTATTTAACATTCTTTCTCAGCTCCAGCAAGACACCAAGCCTCTGCCTCAGTTTTCCCATCTGTAAAATTGGTAAAAGTAACAGCGTCCACCGCACAAATGGTGGGAAATTAAATAAGTCAATACTGGTGATTGCTGAGGGTAGGGCCCAGCTGCAAGTGTGTGAGCTCTCGTCATTGTCCTTGTCA